GCTTCCCACCAGCCTCTCAACCTCCCCCACTCCTCCTGCTCTTGAGGCCAATTGGCTGAGTCGCGTGGGTGGAGCCAAAAAAAGTCCCCCAATGAACAGCTCCGTGGTCTGAAAGGGCGGGGAAACAGCCCAATGAGCATCACCGCAGAGGAGCCAATCAGCTAGAAGTTTGCTGGGGCCGCTGTGAACCAATCATCAGCTGGCAGCTGGAAGTTTGCTGGGGCCCCTTCGGCTGTGGCTCTCAACACAGAGTAGAAATTAGAAGTTTATTAAAGGACAGCAGAAAAGACTTCTCCAGGAGGAAGAAGGGGACCCAAGAGATGGAATCCATGGAACTGCGGTTGTTTCCCCTTTTTATAGTTCTTTCAGTGATGGAATGTAGGTTGGAAGGCCCGAGGGGTGGCACACAGGTTGGCCAAAGAAGTAAACTGAGCAGGAAGGACTTCATTAACACTTCTTTGGGATGGGCTATCTTCAAATCTGCTGGGGCTGTTCATTAACATTTCTTTGGGATGGACTTTGGGCCTAGGGCTTTTCTTGGGACTTCATTAACATTTCAAGAGATGCTCAACTTTTCCAGAAATTCATTCTCAACATGGCCTCCATTTTAGATTTCACTCGATATTAGACCCGATTTATCTAACTACACTGGCTGCCTAATTTTAAATCTGGCTTCATGATGTCATTTTGGATAACTGAGGTGGTAGTGTAGTGCATTGTTTTCTTAAGTCCCCTAAATCCATCTTATTTTGGTAGTTAAATATGACTCTCTAAAAGTGACAATGGAGGATTGAGGGAATGATTCTCTTTTTTAAAAATTTATTTTTTAGTTGTAGTTGCACACAATACCTTTATTTATATGTGGTGCTGAGGATCAAACCCAGGGCCTTGCACATGCTAGGCGAGCGCTCTGCCACTGAGCCCCAGCCCCAGCCCTAAGGGAATGATTCTTATAGACATGCTGTTTTAGAGCATTTGTTTCTTGAACTATAGTTATAAGCATAAAAACTACATAATTAAGTCTACATCGTACTTATCTGCTTGCTAATTCTGTGGTACATTTTGTCATAAGTAACCTGTAACAATTATTAATGAAACATAGCATTATGTATATGATGAGCTTGTTTTTATTTCACAGAAAAATATTTGGGGGGGGGACAAAGGAAAAAATATTTTGCAGTTCCAAACATTGGTAATACACTAGAAGAACTCATGGGACAAAGTATATCAATGTACACATGACTAGGTGTATTACAGAAAAATGATACACAATGGGGTCATCAAGGGAAAAAGACACAGGTGGAACTGGATAAATCCAGGCACAGTCTTCCCATGCTGTCTTCTTCCTGTGAGGGAACACACAGCCTGCTCCTTTCTGCAGCAGTGAAAAATGCAGTAATAAATGTGCTGTGTTTTGGCCAAAGGAAGACCATTAGAGACTCAACATCCAAGGTTTTTATTGGAAGCTAGTCACATAGGCACCCTCTGCCTAGCAACTACAAAAATTCCAGACACCCCAAAGGAAAGCAAGTGTTCATCATAAATCACATTCTACAGTGTAGGGATAGCAAACCAGTCTTATCAGTCCAGGGGATGATTAAATGCCAAATTCCCAAATGCAAGCCAAGGGCCAAACTTGCAAGTAAGTCCTTCTAAAGACAGCTGCCTCAGACCTGCTGTGTTAACTCTTCTCTGTACTGTCCATCCCCAGAGCCCTTGCTACTCTTTGCAATGACTACAATATGTAGTCATCAATAGGAATCCATGGGGCATGGTCAGACCAACTTGCAGTATTGACCTCAGTCAGGCTGTCCATGGGGTCCTCAATTTAGCCAGTGAAAGCAAATTCCATTAACCACAAGGTCTATCTTAAATTTCCTTATAAATCCTTTTTTATACTTGTCCTGAGGCATCAATAGACACAGCACAACTCTGGTCAGTCCATTGAAGCTGAACTGAATGCCTTCTAGGCTGAGGCAGTGTTCTGATAGCAAGCACACATTAGAAGTCCAATCCCCCGAGGGCACAGGTGGTATCCCTGGAAACAAAGAGTTTATAAATTGTTATGGCACCTCAAGCAGGACATGCATTATATATTTTATTAAATTTCTTACAAAACTTCCCTTTTATTTCTTTTAATCCATAATTTTATGGAGTTTATCTTGTGTTCATTGTCATTGCAATAATTACCAATCTATTTATGGTTAGAACTTCACCTTTAAAGTCATTTTTTTCTACTTCTTTCTGCAGGATTATCATTTCGTGATTGAGAGCCTCTTTTCCAGCAGTTTTACAGCTATTTCTTTTTATGTATGCAGTTCATTAATTCTTTACCAAACTTCAAATCATAAGCATTGCAAGCACCATTTTGTACTCTGGGTACACAATGATCATAATGCTGATTTTCTTCTTTTTCACAGGTAACTGCAGAATTACTTAGTATGTTTCAGATTCTCTAAAGAGTCTTGGAGACAGCCATAATGTAATAAGCATCAATTAACAATTAGTGGAAGGAATAG